TATAGGGACGAAACGTTCAACGGATAAAGAGATTGTTCATTTAATTTAAACCTGTCCAAAAAATAACATCCCTAAGAATTAAACTTAGTAATAATATTAGGAAAATTTTCGATAAGAACAAAATATTTATTATATTAAAAATAAATAAAAACGTTCGATATACTTTTTTTCAAAATAATATATAATATAAAATTGATAATATATTTTTATTACTTAAAACCCCCTCCGTGTGTGTTTTAACTGTACGAATATCTTTTCGAATATCGTTTTTGATTTTCTTTACCAAAGTACAATATATCAAATAAATTGTAACAAACGATAATTGTTGTTATTGTTGTTGTTGTTGTTTTATGCACTTTATCGAATCGTCTTACAACAAGCTAAACCGCTTCTGAGTATTATCATTTCTCCTAGTCGACCTCTCACACATATCAGGTTTCTAAACTCACGTGTACGTTCGATCTAACATACCTTTTTACTACTTGCTTTAACTCGGATAGAGGGGAGGGGAGTGGGGACGTATGATGAAGAGGGGGAGGGAAAATAGTCCTTTAGGAGCGTGACTTGGCGGTACTACTCTTTTCCTCTCGTATTTTTTTTTTTTAGTAGTGACGTGATGCATGTTTCAATCCGGAAAACACTTTACATATGTATGCATATGTATACATACATATATATATTTATGTATTACATGTGTATTCTACTTGCACGAGAAAGCTCGATTAAATCGGTTCACTTGTAGCGTCGTTTCCTGTTTATATTCTTTTTTTTTTTTTTAACCCTTTCTTTACCCTCGAACGAAAGTAAAGAAGCAAGGAAAGAAAGAAAGAAAGAAAGAAACGAAAGAAACTAAAGTTTTCGTTTATATCATCAATCTTAAGTATTAAATTGTCCCATTGTTTTTTCTCATATATTTGTTTTCTTTTATAGGTGGAGGAGATACGTGAGATGATAGATAGAATCCAGACGAATGTCGAGGATGTCAAGAAGAAACACAGCGCCATTTTGTCGGCGCCTCAAACGGACGAGAGTGAGTTCTTCTTTTAATCCCTTTTCCTATTCTTATCCTATACTTTATAAAACGCGTATAATGTTAGAAACGGGGTTTTTTTTTTCTTTAATAAAAAGAAGAAAACAAACTATCAATGTTTGTTGATACAATATTTAAAAATCTTAAGCGTGAGTTACTCGTATTTACTCGTTTAAAAATATTTTTCTTTTAAACATTTATAAACGTACTATCGAATTTCGTGTATATTTTCTACCACACAACGAATCAATTGACCCATCTTCAAAAATTATCCATATATTTCTAAAATATAATACCATTTATGCAATAAAATCAAATAAATTATCCAAATATAATATAACACAAGTTAATAATTGAACTTTTACAAAAATTCTTACCCAAATACATCATTGACAATCTTTAATTTAGTGTTAATTATTTTTCGTTATTATTTTTTAATCATAAAAAGAAAAAGAGAGAAAAATAAGGAAAAGAAGATAAAAGGGTAATAAGAAAAAATTAAAGAAAAAGAAGAAATGATCGATAATAGAAGGGGGAAGGAAAAAACATGAAATATTAAAAGCAACAAAAAAAGAAACAAGAATAGAAATTCAACAGCTAGGATTTGTTATAACGAAATTTAGAAAAGCGGAATGGAAAGGGGGTACGAGTGAAATGGTTGGGGGTGGGGTGGG